GGAACGAGGGGAGGGAGCATGGAATGCAGGGAGGGGATGCTGGCCATGTTAGGCATCTCCCAGTGGCCGCTGTTCTCAAAGGCCATCTTTGGTAATGTGCCCAGGGGAGGGGGAGGGAGCGTTCAATGTCCACCACACGCTCCGGGGCTTCTGCTGAGAGATGGAGGGGAGCTGGAATTCCTGCCCTCACCTATGTCCATTCTCTGAATTGCAGTGCAAGAGTGAGTTCATATGCCTTGCATTGCCGGGATCCTGAAGCTGGAGAGAAGGGAACCTGATACAGGAGAGGGTTAGAAGCTGAGGTCTGAAGGAGACAGATATTATGTGGAGGATGGGGCTGGATTCCTAAGAGAAGGGCAGAGGAAAGGAGACGGTTGAGATCCACAAACACAACACTAGGACCAGAAGGTGGTTCTGACTACAAACTCCTGCTCACTCTCTCCACACCTCTTGTTCTCCAACACTATTTACATCTTCTCTCTTCAGTGGCTCCAACTGCCTGCCTTCCTCTCAGTACTCATGATTTGACTAATCTTTCTAATCAAAAGACAAGTTCGCCTGAGACAGTATAATCTGAGGAGCCACAGACAGGAGTGTTATTAATTATCAATATGCAAAGATCCTACACCTAATGTGCAAATACTCCAAAGAGAACATATAGAATCCAGTAGTTTTAACACTTGCACAAAATAGTCAAAGTACTAAGCATCACAAAAAAAATTTATAGCTACATGCGGTGATGGATGGTACCTAGACTTCTGCGGTGATCATTTAGCAACATATACAAATATTGAATCACTATGTTGTACCTGAAACTAATATAATATGTCAATATATCTCAATTTTTTGAAAAATCAAACTAAGAACTCATACCTTTTAACCCAGAAATTTTATTTCTGAGGCTCTACCCTAAGGAACTATTTTCTAAAACATTGAAAAGAACTCATGAACAAAGATGTTCATCACAGTGTTATTATCATCAAAAAATACAGTGACAATGAGGAGTGATTAGGAATTTATGGTACCTCTACCTAATGGAAAATTATGTAGGCATTTTAAATGTTCACTGTCCAATTGTAATTAAGTGAAAATTAATGTTATAAAATTTAAAGTAAAAATATATAAGACTTATATACACCACATGGTGTGCACGGAAAAAAGAATGGAATGAAACAATTCAATATATTAATACTGGTTGTCTTTAGTCAGCAAGATTAGGGTGATTTTTTTTTCCTTTTATAGTCTTAGTTTCCAAATTATAACACTGTAATGGAAGCAGGGAAGCTTTTTAAAAGGCAAACTTCACTGGAAGAGGAGAAATCTTACTTGCATAGAAAACTTTCTGGATTTAGTCCTTTTCGTAATCAATACCCAGAAAATATAACATTTTCTGGAAGAGCACTTGAAGCACAGAATACGGAAAATGTGAGCAAGATCAGGCAAAGAGAAACTTGGTTTGCTCAGTGATCCACACTAGTTATCTATGGTTACCAGATAAGAAGCAGATTTCACTGCCTGAAATGCAAGGTCCTTCATAATTTGTCACCATGTATTCAAACAGTATATGACCACTTCTCAGCTGAACTTCTTCATCAGGCTTTCACTTTACGTTTGGAAACCTTCCCGTCTCTCAGAGGGTGATTTAATTCACTTCCATCCATGAAGACTTTCCTGATCCTCTTATGCTCCCAGTTGTTACTATTTCTCCTTCTTAAGGTGTTGATGTGGCACTTAAGTCTGCACCACCTTTAATGATATTAAGCCAATTCTATTTTGTTAATTACTCGTATGTAAATAAATATCTCCCTAGCTAGACTTTTAAGTTCCTTGAAATCAAGAATTTAGATGGTCTGCAGACAATAGTCATTTGACAAACGCATACATACAGAGAGAGAAAGAAACAGAGAGAGAATACAGCTCCAAAGCCAGGTTCGTATTATCCGTATTCTGTGATGTTATCTAAATAAAATGTGTTGCCTCTGTTTTAAAATGTTCCTGCTGACCCTCCATCACTAGGATATGCACTCTTCTTTCTTTTTAATAGTAGTGGGATTGTAATTTTGCTAATTCATTCGTACGAATTCTGCTGTCCTTTTTGAGATTAAACAGATTGGACCACAAGATGCCTCACTGAGGTTCAAACTGAAGACTTGTCTCAGGACCCTACCTCTCTTAATAGTCTTGTCTGAACAACAAATGTAAAATTTGTGCCTCCATTTTATGACTTTAGTCTATCAACATCTTCATTAACTTAAAAAAAAAGAATTCTCCAATGCAAATGGTTCACTACTCTGGAAGTGATGGACTAAGATGATTATGTTTCTATCTGCCATCATATACTGTTCCAGTACTTGGAGATAATGAGGATTTGTACTATAGCAACCTGCCTCCTGAGCCATCAATAAGAGCTGCACATCTTAAGAGAAAATACATAAATCATAAATGAAAGCAAATCAAATGGCCAAGCAAGAAACAAAGAAATACCTAGCATCCATTATTTTTGCATAAAGAGCACACAAAAGTCAATGTAACTGTTGACTCTGAAGGGCAGGGTAAAAACAAATCAATACACTTTCCCATTATACAGAACTACACTTTGCTGCAACACACACAATTTTTCTAAGAGTCAATGCTTGTCCAGATTCCACCACTTGCTGGCTGTGTAATCTTGAACCTTCTCTGTATTTCAGTTCCTTCATCTATAAAATGGAGTAATCACCTGCTATGCCAAATCACAGAGCCGTAATGAATCAAAAAACATTATCAGCCAGAGTTTATCTGTCACCCTATCATGAGGTGACACACCCTATAAAAACAGCTCAGTCACACACCCCACGAACTAAGAAACTGTTCTTACTGCAAATGTTTCCCTAAAGTTAAAAAAATTTCCAGATTTCCTTTACTTTCTTAAAAGATTTCTCCAACACTCAAGCATCTGCCATCTATCACTGCCAAAAATGTGTTGAACCTCTCCTTCTATGACCTCGCTGTCCTCTGCAGTGTTGTCCAGAGATTATTTTTTGGCATATGCTTTCTAAGAAAACAGGGTTTGTTTGTTTTTTTTTTTCACATAATTCAAAGACTACTCCTACTTTTATATTAACAGAACAAAAATTCCATATACAGGAAGTTTACAGGTTGTTGTTTGAAATTAGCTCTGTGAAAGTTAATTCTATGTTTAATATGTAGTAGATGACATATATGTACACACAACTTGGACACACAGCTCCTTAATCCAGAGGAAGGTCCATGGGCTTTGGGGTCAGGGGGACTTGGATCTAAATCCCTGTTCTGTGACCTTGAGCAGGTAATTTAACTTCCTGCTTTTCAATTTTCTCATTTGGTTTTGAGTTGTTGTCATGATTTAACGAAATAACATATACAAAAGTGAAGCCTGGGCTCTGAAAGTATTATATCCTACCTCCTTTTAAATCTTTTCCTACTATGCCAAGACCAATCAAACCCACTCTGAATACAGCTTGCATACAGCATCTTTCTCAGGCATTAGCGGGGAATGCAACGCGATGTAAAATCCAGGGGACGGTGGCACGAATGATGCATTCAAAGGAGCAAACAGTAGAGAAAGTGACCGGTACAGCAAAGGGCCCTAGATCTCACTCGCATGTGCGAAAAAGACACAGATCTGACTCGCTGGCGGCTGCACCGCACACTCCGGGAGGTTTGTACCGCGATGTGGGGAAAGGGCGGAATCACAGAACACGCCAGCCGGGAGCCACCTGGCTCACCCCACCCGACCCCACCCGCCCGGGTCGCTCATCTGGAACCTAGCAGCAGAGGTGAGAGCCCAGCAACTGCCCTCGCCCCCTCTCCCTCCCCCATCCTGTGCGAATCCCTCAGGGCACGAATGGTGCTGAATCATTAGCACCAACAGCAGCAGCTCCCCGCGCCCCTGCTGCTCCCGCGGGCGCCGGCGTCCCTAGGGCAGCGGCCGAGACCTCGGGGGCGTGGGGACAGGGCAAGGGGGTCTGGGAGGATCGGGCAGCAGGTA